GTGGCAGAATTTAGTTCCTGGTGACTACAGGACAGAGGTCCCTGTTTTTATCCTGGATGTCTGCTAAGGGCTTTTCTAAGATCTTAGAACTTGCCCCAATTCCTTGCCACACTTCAAGCCAGCAAAGGAACACTGCCCTCTCATTGAATACCCGTGATATCTTGGATTTCTTATACCAGGAAGAGCACAGATCCTTTTCAGGGCTCATTTGACTAGGTTAGCCCTCTCCCAGGACAATCTCTTTTTCTTTTCTTTTTTCTTTTTTAATATATTTTATTTATTTATTTATTTTACAGAGAGGAAGAGAGAGGGATAGAGAGTTAGAAACATCGATGAGAGAGAATTATCAATCAGCTGCCTCTTGTACACCCCCTACTGGGGTTGTGCCTGCAACCAAAGTACATGCCCTTGACTGGAATGGAACCTGGGACCTTTCAATCCACAGGCCGACGCTCTTTCCACTGGGCCAAACTGGTTTTGGCAATCTCTTTTTCTTAAAGTCAACTGATTGAAGACCTTAATCACACCAAGAAAAATCCCTTTGGTCATGTTACACAACAATCCTGGGAATGAAATCCATCCTATTCATAGGTCCACCTGTACTACAAGAGAAAGAAATTATGAAAGGCTGATTGCAGGAATTCTGGGTTTGATTAAATAACTGAGGCTATAGTCAATTCAGTGCCTCAAAATCCCATCACAATCCTAAACTGTCACATTAAAAATTTGGCTTGAATTTTATTTTATTTTATTTTATTATTTTTCTTGGCTTGAATTTTAGTGTAACTTTTATTGTGACCTTCTTTTGTGGAAACTTATGTTCTCTTGGTTTGTGAAGGTTTACCATGTACAGGGCATACCTCAGATATGTTTCAGGTTCGGGTCTAGACCACCACAACAAAATGAATAATGCAATAAAGCAAGCTGTAATCTTTTTGCTGGTGGAAAGTTTGGCCTTCAATTAGTAAACACCAATGAAGCATAATAAGCAAAGCACAAGTAAGCATATATTTGAAAGAGCGGCCCACTAAATTGGAATCATCTATTTACTTTTTTTGGTTATCCCATTTTGAACACAGTAGTAAGAGAAATGAAGTAGTGGGTTTTTCTTTTATAATACTTCAGCGTGGTAACAAAAATTAATTGATCTCTTAATAACATTTCTTTTGCCTTTTCACTAAAGGAGTATATCTTCCTGGGAGCCACTCTACTTGACCAGGAATTGGGAGAGAGTAATGGGCACAGTTGTCAGAGATAGAGTGAGTGGAATGACAGCATAGATGCCCTTGGTTTATTTTTCTTAATCCTGAGGTGGAAGACTATCTGATATAGTTCTTAGTCCTTTTTAAGCTTTATTTATTCTTTTTAGTGCCATTGAAATTTAGAGCTCAGGGGAACCTTAGAGAACTGTTTTGCTTTTTCTCCCATTGGGTAACAAGAGTAAAAGTTATCTGACAGTACTACCATACCAACTCAATAGCTTAATGGGAATATAAGGGTTTCATATAAAACATTGGTTTTCTCCCCATACCTCATTTGGTTTTTGAACTTCCAATTCAATGATCCTCTAACTCTTCTAACCTTAAACATTACAGGCAGGTAACACATTCATGTGAATTACAGCATAGATTTATAGAGGTGATTTTAAACTGAGAGAATCATGGCAACACCACCCCACCCCCGCCCCCCCCCAAAAAAAAACAAAAAAAAACCACACACACATAAAGAAACAAAATGCCCACAAACATACACATACACTTATTATGAGGAATATATTCAAATCTTGGGGTGGAATTGATACTAAGGAGTATGTGAAGTTTGAATAAACCCCTGGTGATTCTGATAAGCTTGATTTAAGAATCACTTAGACCATATATTGTATTCTGTAATCCCACCCTCTTCTGTCACTAAGTATCTCTCACACTTATTTCTGTTTGGAGAAGCTTGGAGTCATCTAGGCTATTTTGCCATCTAATTCAGGGATTGCTTCTATCAAACTCCAGGTAATTGGTCATTCAAGCTTTTTGCCTACATGCTTGGCAAGATGAGACTGTTACTTCCTAAAAGTCTCTTATCAGGCTGTTCCAGTTTTGTACTTCAAGCTAAAGTTTGCAGCCCTGTAAGTTCTCACTTACGAGGAGGGCTATAGTATTTCTCTCCCAAGTTTATTCTTCTCCAAGATAAGAATACCCAGTTCTTTCAACTCTTGCTCTTGTTTTCAGGATTCCCCATTCCATTCATCTTCCTTTGGAATGATTCCCTGTTTATTAACCAGGGGAGTGTGGGCATGAGTGAGGGAGTGGGGGAAGGAGTGGAGAAGAATGGGGGGATAATGACACATATGTAATACCTTAATCAATAAAGAAACAAAATGTGATAAGTAAGACTGAGTCAGAACTGCATTTGTGGGTGCCATGTCCTAGCTCTTGCCTCTACAGAATGGCTACAGTAACTTTCAGATAGGTCCCACTTCTTTTGGATTTAATGTCCACATGGCTGCTAAAGAATATTTTTTTAAAATATATTTTATTGATTTTTTTACAGAGAGGAAGAGAGAGGGATAAGAGCTAGAAACATCGATGAGAGAGAAACATTGATCAGTTGCCTCCTGCACACCCCGTACCGGGGATGTGTCCGCAATCAATGTACATGCCCTTGACAGGAATCGAACCTGTGACCTTTCAATCCACAGACCCATGCTCTATCCACTGAGCCAAACCGGTTTCGGCCAAAGGAGATTTTTAATGAGCCTTTCCAGTCACTTGTCTTGGAGTAAAATACAAACTCTCTTAATATGCTCTTAAGACCTAACATGAGCTTGCCCCAGCAAACTCTTCCAGCTCTCGTCACTCATTTTGTATCACTAAATTCTAGCCATATTGATTTCTCAGTTGCTCTTCCTTTGGAGTCTCTTCTTCCCTCTTTTTTCATGGCAGGCTCCTTTCCATCCAAGGCTCTGGATCCAGTTCCTCTCCCAGAGGCCTTTCCTTACTACCCAGTTTTGTACTTCACTCACTCCCATTCCTCAAGCTCATAGACCCATCTGCCCTGTTCACTGCTGGACCTCAAATACTCAGAAGAGTATCCTAGCTATGGTGGACTTTCAATAAATGTTTGTGTAACAAGTGCCAAATGAGTGACCAGACCTGGGTCAAATATTCCTCTTACTTTCTTGAATAGATCCTAAGGTTGTTAAAGATTGTTTCCTTATAGAGGGAGCAGGCCAGTGAAAGAACATTTCCTTGTCAGCTGATCTTGAACAAAAGATCAGATACTGACTGTATTTGAAGGTAGAGAATTGACTGTGGGATCAGATGTTAGGTGTGAGAGAAACCAAGTGGTCCAAGATAACTCCATGATATTTGGCCTGAGCTACTGGAAAAATGGAGTTACCACTACTGAGATGGCAAAAACCACGAGGAGAGGTTTGACGCAGGTGGGTAGAGGGGTATCGAGAATCAGTTTGGAACTTGCAAACTTAAAATCCTTAGTTCACTGAGTCTTAGTTTTCTCAGTGGTAAGGAGGGGTTCATAATTCTTCTCATAATTGTAAGGATTTGATAAGTTAATGTTTTCAACTCAAAACAAAATAATAAAGTGGGTAGAGGAAAAGAAGTTGATTAATAATAGTCATTAAATCATGGAGCTTTTACCAGATCCTTCAGGCATATGAAAACCGAAGAATAATTCAGAAAGTTTTTTCATATAGGATTTTAGGCTGAATGGAAATGGGCTTTTTTTGGTATAGGAAGATGTTCAGTAATTCAGGTGGAAATAAAAGTGGCATTGGTGGATCTGCAACCATGGGAGCATCAAAAAGGCTTGTTTTCTATTCACTCACTAAACTGTCCTATGACTATTTCAACCACCAATAGTAAACCTACTGAGTCTCTGCCATGTACAGCGCAAAATGCTGGAATTTGGAAAACTACTCTCTCAAAAATAAGAAATGTCAGTGTTATATTCTGGGGATGATTGTGAACATTTACCAGAGTTCATTATAAGCTTAATACAAGAAATGTCTGACTAGCATTGTGGTGAGAAAGCCCATAAGATTCCTCACATAGGGATGCAGGGGAGGATTTGAAAGGGATAATTTCAGAACAACGCCAGTGCTTGCCTTGTGCGCTATTCAGAGTGTTTGTTCCTTACCCAGCAAGTCCTCCAGTCTAGGCAAACTCTGGAATGCTTTCAGTATATTTACCTAGCTTTATTGCTACAAGAAAAATTTCATAGGAAAAATATGGTGTTGAGCATTGATTAGACACTATTAAACTTAATTTTTAAAAGTTCTCAACAAATTTCATTGGAAGTCTTAATATCACAATTTCCTAACATGTGGCCCACTTAATAGAAGCTTCCTTACTACCTAAAGCTTTTCATGTTACTTTTTGTCAGCAGTCATTTTAGGACTAATTGTTTAACAATACATCTTCTGTTCCAGAGTAAGTTTCAGAAAAGCTCAGGCTCACATCTATCTCAGTCTTAGGTCACAGTTAGACCAAGTTTAGGTTACCTTGTTGTACTACTTCCTCACTTATATCCCCTTTAGTCGATCTTTACAAGAAGGCAACACTTGCTTTAAGGTAAATTGTTGGCTTCTTACATATTTAGGCGTAATAGTAGGAGCCCATAATAATAACTGTAGTTAATGTTTACCGAGTACTTTGTTTTAAGCCCTTTTCATATCTTAACTTTCTTAATAATTAACAATAGTCATTCAAAGTGTCATTGCTTATTGTTCTGGTATAACAACTGAAGAGCAGAGAGTTGTTAGACTGTCTAAGATCACACAGATTGTAGTTAAAACTGGGTTTCAAACCCAGGCAGTTGGCTGAGAGCCCTGTTCTCAACTGGGGTATATTACCTCCTTCCATAAATCACAGCTTAGGAAAAATGTGCTGGAAAACACTTAACTAGTGTTTTTTTACTAGCAATTGGCAGGACTTAATGTTGTGATAATAAATATTAATCATGATTTCTGTTTTCTTTTCCCCCAGTTTCATGGTTTTCTCCAAATGAAAATATCCTTATTGTTATTTTCCCAATGTTGGCTGTGCTTCTGTTCTGGGGACAGTTTGGTATTGTGAGTAAGTACTTGTTTTCTATTTTCATTTATGATTTAGTGATAAAATTGTCACCTCTAGGAGGCAATATTGGTGAAATATTCTATTTAAATTATATTAGGAAGTGTGATAATATTATAAATAAGAACATACAGTCTTAATATTAATATTCTCCATGAAGTATATATTGTCCCTCTTAATTTGCTGCAGTTCCTAAGAAGTTTTTTTTTTTTTTTTTAAAGAATGAATAGTGGGAATTCTAATAATATACCTGAAACTCGTGCTGGTTTTAATGTTTACACAGCATTTACAAACACATTATTGGTGAAGAGATATCCACAGCCTACATTATACTGTTAAGTGGGATTTTGCAATTCTGAGCATTAAGACTTCCCTCTCTTCATTTTCCAAATTTGAACTTCTCTGTATACATGTGTGCATCTTTGGAAAAGCCCAGCTTGAACTATGTTGTCATCCTTACTATGCAATTCTGCAGCCCCTAAGCAAGTAGCCACGGGTGGAGGGAGGGTGTTCTTTGATCATGTTTTGCTGTAATAGCCATATGTCTAAACTTCTCAGGGCAGATCTTGGTGCAGCATCAGATGTAGCATGAATAATGTAGGATTGTCGCTGTGAAGTAGAAAGGTGTGCATTCTGATTGATGATTATACTCAACCTGGAACAGCACAAGTTAAATTATGTGGATCCACTTAGATGTAGATTTTTTTTTTTTCCAGGAAATACTGTAAACGTATTTTCTCTTCCTTATGATTTTCTTAATAACATTTTCTATTCTCTAAGTTACTTCATTATAAAAATATAGTATTTGATACATATAACACAAAATATGTGTTAATCAACTGTTAATTTTATCTGTAAGGATTCTGGTCAACAGTAGGGTATTAGTAGTTAAGTTCTGGGGGAGTTTAAAGTCATATGTGGATTTTTAAAACATATATTTATTGATTTCAGAGAGAAAGGGAGGAGAGAGAGAGAGAAACATCAATGATGAGAGAGAGTCATTGATTGACTGCCTCCTGCACACACCTCACTGGGGATCAAGCCCACAGCCCACAACCTGGGCATGTGCCCTGACCGGAATTTAACCATGACCTCCTGGTCCATAGGTTCATGGTCAACCACTGAACTATGCCAGCTGGACCATATGTGTATTTTACAGGAGGTGAGAGTATCAGCTCTCCTAATCCCTGTGTTAGTCAAGGGTCAATTGTATTTCCACACCAGTTTAGTAAGGGAAATTCACTAAATTAGTGAAGTTTTGAGGTGACATTCTAAACTTTTAAACCTTCAGTTTGTAAGATATATCCTCTGTCTTCCATTAGTATGCTGAAATAGTTATTAAAGGCCAGTGAACATTTATGCAAGGCAAGGAGTAAATAATGCTGATTATATGTATTTATTTCACTCTGCAACCTTTAAAACCAGTGAAAACTAGTAAAATATTATAGCCGATTGGCCTGTTGTAAATTTCATGAATTTTATTCTTACTTGGAAATTTGAGGCACGTCTATCTAAAATGATTATATAAAAATGAAAAAGGGATGTCTGGGTATATATTTAAGGGCTCTGTTCAATGGATGGCACTCTGGAAATGCTTTGTGATTTCAAAGGCAAAAGGGGAAGTAAAAGGCTAACAGTGACAACTGTCAAGACATGTCACAACTCTCACTTTCAAAACGGTGTCTAGAATTCCTGTGGAAATTTTCTTACAATTTCAAAAGGCCTTTTATGTCAAGCAAAAGACTGGTATAGCATCAAGACCTCATCAGTCATCCCTGATATTAGGGAAGGCCTTGAACCCTGGTGGCAAACCCCTGCATAAAGACCTTTGTCATATAATTAAAGTAGGGACTTGTCTTTCTTTAAGAACATAGTCATTTCAGAGTGTGATTTGTTTCATTTGGATTGACTTCAGTTTGTTGATCATGGCATTCTCATTAATAATGTTATTTTTAGAGAACTGAACCCAGAGTGACTGTTCCTGTCAGCAATATTGTGACAAAATTAGATGTCTAAATTTGTTTTCGGACTAAAAATGTAATACATATCACTTTGGAATACTTTGTATAGTAATAAAGGCATGATTCACCGATTTGTGCACCAGAGGGTCCTTTGGCCTGGCCTGTGCCCTCTTGCAATCTGGGATCCCTTGAGGGATGTCAAAGAGCCGGTTTTGGCTCGATACCCACAGGCCAGGTGGAAGGGCCCCACCGGTGCACAAATCCATGCAACGGACCTCTAGTATGCATATAAGACCTTTGGTTAATCTCTTCCCACCCTCTCCCCTCCTCCCTTCCCTCTGAGATTCATCAGTTAGTTCTATGTTTCCATGCCTGTGGTTTCCGTTCCTGCATTGAGCGTTTGCCCCCTGGTGGTCAGTGTGTGTCACAGATACTGGCGGGTCAAACTATCAGCTGGTCAGCCAGTTACTTAGGCTTTTATATATAGAAATAGGAAGTTATAGAGAATAAACAAAAATAATCTAGAATCCCATAATCCTATATAATAAAAGTGTGATATGGTAAGGGTCCGACCAATCAGTTGACTGTTTGGTAGATCACTCGACTAGGTGCTATGATGTGCACTGACCACCAGAGTGAGACTTTCTGACTGGTAGGTTAGCTTGCTGCTGGGATCCAGCCGATCAGGACTGGGCAAGAGGACCAGACATGCCCTAGAGCCCTCCCACTTCCCCTCCCTGGCCGGCCGGCCCCCTTTGGTCCTGTTTGGGAGTAGGTGAGACAGGCCTGATTGGCCCTGATCACTGGCCAGGCCAAGGAACCCTACCTGGGCACTGGGCCTCTAGTCTAGAAATAAATAAACTATTGGTCTAGTGTAGTGAATTTTCTGCTTTCTTTTCTGTCTTTTTTTTTTTTTTTTTTTTTTTTTTAACGTTTTTTTGGTTACCTTTTTTTAAAAAAGAAAAAAAAATTGGGGTCAGATAGCTTATATATTTGTACATAATGATCCTCTCCCCATGTTTTCAGAAATCTTGTTATAGCTGCCTCTGCTCTATTTTCACAGACGCATGTAATTTACTCAATTCTCATTTTGATTGATATTAAGCATGTTTTTAGTTTTTCTTTTTTTATACTACTAAAGATATGTAAAACCGTAAATGGCAGAGATATTTTAAGATTTTTGATACATTCTCCCAAGTGTTTTCTAGAAACATTGTATCAATTACTATTGCAGATGAGAATACCTGCCTTTTACCTCATAGTCCTGACATCTTTATAATTATAAAATCTTTGCTAATTTGATGAATGAAAAAAAATCCTGTTTTAATTTTCACCTTTGTGTTAGTGATGTGAATGTTCTTTTTTATATTTATTCTACTGGTCATGTTTTAAGGAATATGAACCTAAATATTTTGGTGACAATATTTCATTTAGGCTCATCTTAGAACAAATAACTGTGGTGTGAGTGTGTGTGTGTGTGTGTGTGTGTGTGTGTGTGTGTGTGTGTGTGTAAGGCACATAATATATTTGATTCATTCAGCCTGGACTCAGATTTGAAGGTGTGTATAAAAATAGTCCCTAAACATTTGTGGAGTCCTTGTGCTCTGTGATGGGCACTTTGTAAAGTACTATCTATCTTGGACTTGTACCTCTATTTCCTTCAGCAGGTTAGGAAAGTTTTCATCATTATTTTTTTCAAATATATTTTCAATTGATTGCTCTCTCTCTTCTTTTTTAGGCACCCTCATGTTGGGAATATTAATAAGCTGAAGTTGTCCCAGAGCCTCCTTATACTATCCTGACTTTCTTTTTTGGGGGAGGAAGCGGGGGAGGATTCATTTTTCTTTTTGCTGTTGTGACTGGATGTTTTCTGCTTCCTTATCTTCCAAATCCCTGATTTGATTCTCTGCTTCATCTACATTACTGTTAATTCCCTGTAATGTATTCTTCCTTTCAGTTATTGAATTCTTCATTTCTGATGGGTTCTTTATGTTTTCTATCTCCATTATGTTTCTTAACTCTTTGTTGAAGTTCTCACTGAAATTTTTGAGCATCCTCATAACCAGTGTTTTTAAACTATGCAGCTGGTAGATTGCTGGTCTGTTTTGTTTAGACCTTTGCTGGAGTTTTTTTCTATTCTTTAGTTTGGGACATGTTCCCTTCTCTCCTCATTTTGGTAGCCTCCCGATGTTTGTTTCTATGTATTAGGCAGAGATGCTATGTCTGCCAGTCTTGGGAGAGTAGCCCTCTAGTAGGTGTCCTGTAGAACCCTGTGAGGCAGCATCCCCTGCCACCCAAGCTAGGCTCTCCAGGCGTGCTCCTTTGTGGGCTGTGTGCATCCTTCTGTTATAGGTGAGCCTTGATTGTTGTTGGCACGTCACTGGGAAGGATTTAACCCCAGGACAATCAGCTGTGAGGACTGGCAGCAACCACAGCACAGGATTTGCTGTGCAGGATCCAACTCCACAGAGCAGGACTCACTTCATCTGAGCTCTGGTGCCTGAGGAGTCTTCCCCTTGAGTGGGTCTCTGGTGGAAGTTGTTGGGTGATACTCCTGAAGCTGGCCACCACGTAAGCTAGCTTTAGTAGGTGCAGGCCCAAGATCACCTTTTGCCTGCACCATGCCTAGGGCCATCTGGCATGAGTTATAAAGCAATCTGCTGCAGATGGCTGTTACTGTGCTGGGCTAGGAGGTGTCAAGGCTGCCAACCACTAGTGCTGTATCTGAGGCTACTTAGTAAGAGTTATAGGGCACATTGAGGCCAGATGCTGCTTGTTTTGAGTTTGTGAACATTTGAGATATTTTAGGAAAGTTTGAAGCATGAGCCCAGACAGACTGTTTGTATGGAAAAGCCACTGGAAAGGGCTTGGGTAAGCCTGCAAGTTGGATGGCACTGAGTCTCAGGGAATCACCAGCGTTGAGCTCACAGTGTGAGCTAGGATGGAGACACAGATATGAGGCTCACCTGCTGGTTCTTTGTGGGGAACCAGCAAAGGAACAAGAGCTGCTGCCAACACTTATGTCTGGGTAAAAGCTGACTC